ACACACACACACACACACACACACACACACACACACACACACACACACAAGAGTTATTTTTATCGATCTCGGTCGGCAATTCAAATCCGCGTTCGAATCGATCCTTTCGATTCGATCGGAAACCGTTATCGATGTATTTGATCCGTCGATAAACGAAACGCGCGCGTTAATTTGATGGACCTGTTGTATTGTTTAGCAACGTGTCTGTTTGGGTCCGGCTTGACTGCTGTTTGCTTGTACTACATCTCGTCGTCGATGGAAATCCTCGCGTTCGCTTCCGTGTTTGAAGCTCTTAGCAGCACAGGTTTCGGACTGATATTTTGCGTCGCCGTGGAACTATTTCCCGTAGAATACACGTAAATCGCAGGCGGACGAAGTTCTGTTCGACGTTCGTTATTTTATCTATTTATTTGTATTTTATAATTCATAGGGGCTTGGCTGTAGCGATAGGCTCCACGTTCGGTAAAATCGGTTCAATTGTGGGCAACGTCGTCGTCGGAATTTTCATCGACGCGTATTGTATTGTTCCGATCGTGGTATCGTGTTCATTTTTGCTATGTATGTATACAATTTTATCAGAATACAGATTGAATATTAAAATCAAGTTAAATAGTATTATGATACTGTTCCGTTACAGTTAATTATGATGCGCATAGCAATAATAAATAAAAAAAAAACTAGAAAACAAAAAATAAATATTTGAAATAGACTGCAGTGTCGTTATTTAATAATTTTAAAATATATACAATTTTATGTTTATTGATGGATTTGGTTTAATATAATTATACATTGTATTTTTAGTTTCAGGATTTCTGATTTTTACATTACCGAAAACTATAAGAAATGACAGCAAAGGAAATGAAAATTAGTTTTAATTTCTTTTAGAAATGTATTATGTTTTAAATGTTCATCGTTCTTTTCCTAATTTTGTATTAATTTTTAACAATAAGTTCTTAAAAAATAAAAAAATATACTGTATAAATTACAAATATAACATAAATACATATTACCTATTGCCATACTAATAATTTAAAATTTATCAATTATTAGAGAAATCATATACTTTTCCCATGTTATCTATATTTTATATTTATACTAAAGTTGTGTTTTAGTATATATTGGGTAGATTTTTAATAGTGAGTGATTTTTTTTTTTTTAGACATCCCCAGAAATTTACGGGGATTGGTTTTCATTTTTAAAAAATACATGATAGTTTTTGGCGAAGAAAGATGTTTATATTTGCGATATTTTTTATGAACCTTTTTATGTACATATTAAATGTAAAGTAAACATCATAGTTTATCAAACAAAGAATATAGATTGTATTTATCCACATTCACTTTTCTGTCGGTATCAAATACTGTAAGACTGTAAGGTTAGGGGTAACTGTGTAACCCATGTTCAGTCTTTTAAAAAATACTTTTGAAAAAGCATTAAAATACTAATATTAGTTGTCATATAAAAATCAATAAAAATACTTTTAAAATCTATATATATAAAAATCTCGTGTCACAGTGTTTGTGACCATACTCCTCCAAAACGGCTTAACCGATTTTAATGAAATTTTGTATATACATTTGAATAGATTTTTATCTATTTTTATACTCCTAAGTGCTACGGTTTAGTGAATCGTAGTTTAATTTAATAATTTTTGACCCGGTCGATAACTGCGCAATTGAAAATGAATCACTAAATGATAATATTAAAAAACTATTAAAAACTATTTAAAAGCTATTAATTTTATTTTTTGTGTTAAATGACGAGTTTTGCATAAATATTAAACAACAAGATCCCGCAACAGGTGCCAAAACAAACAAGAATGTTAGTTCGAAGGATTATTATGCATATCGGTTGATGATTAGATGCGATCAGGACAACGTTATTCTACGATATCGTGAGCTTTGTCAACAATTCATGGTCGAAATGCATGTAAAGATAGAGAGCGAATGATTACAATACTTGGATTCAATCAAAAAAAATTGCGTGCGAAAGATTCTCAAAACAATTGTTAGATATCGGTGATGGAAAAGTTACTACACATGAAATGGGATGCATACAATTAACGACCGATTTCTGCACAATCATTGATTTGCAAGATGCTCTCATTGACCAGATATTTTACCATGTACACAGACAATACAGAAATCATGAGTGGCTGGCAGAAAGAGTAATTTTAGCAGCAAAAAATGTAGACGTCAACCAATTGAATCTCAAGATACAACATTTGTTACCAAGAGACTTGGTGTCATATAAATCTATTGATACAGTTTGCGATGCTGCTGAAACTGTAAAGTATCCAACAGAGTTTTTAAACTCATTGGATTTATCAGGCATGCCATCGCATAATTTACAACTGAAGGTTGGATCTCCGGTTATTTTGCTTTGTAATTTGAACCCACCACGGTTGTGCAACGACACGCGATTAGTCATTAAAAAATTAATAAAAAATGTTATCGAAACAATCATTTTAAATGGCAAATTCTGAGGTGAAAATATATTATTACTGCGAATCCCTATTATACCCACAGATGTGTCAATACAATTTAAACGCCTTCAATTTCCAATTAGATTGACATTTGCAATGACTATCAATAAGTCTCAAGGCCAAACGATGTCAGTCTGTGGCTTAGATTTGAGCACATCGTGTTTTTCACACGGATAATTATATGTGGCGTACTGTCGAACCATCGTTTGTTTGTGTTGGCGAAAGATGGGATGACAAAAAATATTGTAGACTCTGTTGCATTAAGGGATTGATATTGTTTTTTACTAATATTGTCGTAATTAGCAATATATATAATTTTACAGGATTTAGGAAATTTAATAAGCTATTAAAAAAAAATAAATATTTGGATTGGATTGGAGGTAAAAATAATCGAATGAGCGGAAAAACTCTGTGTTAAAGTAGGATATTTCAAAGAATTTATACTAATTTTAACTCATCGTAATTTTTTACCCATTTACTAACCGTTTTATGCGTGATCTTCGATCAGAACATATTTCTTACTTTAATCGAAAAATAAAATAAAACAAATTTTCTTTTGTCAAAACACGATTGATGCAATGTTTCTTCTTTCGGAAATCATTTATAATAAATATATATATATATTCATATTGAAAGCAAGTATCTCAAAGACGGATATACTCATAGGCGTGCGCAGACTTTGTCCGCAGGGGGGGGCCTTTAAAAAAGTAAACCAAAGATTCTTGTACTAAAGACTACTAGTATAATTAAATATTTTAAATTTTATAAATTATTTATTTAATTCGATATGCAAATATAAAAATAAATACTATTTAAACTTACACAATTTATATCTAAGAAATCCTTATTTACATATTATTATACTATTTACAACTCCATCCTTTTGTTCACGGGAGTAAGGTTTTTGAATGTATCAATTACATCTTCAATTTTTATATTATATGCAAGTTCTGATTAGTCTGATTAATAACCAATAACTTTATTACATTTATTCACAGATATCAATTCTATACTATAAGATTAAAACGGGCTTCACTTTATTCATGTAAAATGTAAAAATGTTCGCTATCTTGTATAGTATAGTTATACATTTATTAAAGAAAAAGCCAGAGTCCGCAGGGGGGGGGGGGCGCGGCCCACCCGGCCACCACCGTGCGCACGCCTATGGATGTACGGAACGCTTTGAACCGGCGAACGATGCGCGCGTTCACGTGAGTGTGGTGTTAACGCGCACAGAGCAACCAATCCATCCCCGAAGCCGGTAGTCGTCTTTCGTTCGACCGACAGAGCGCCGCATATGCGCGTGAACCGTTACTCAACACAGCTCACTTTTCGGGAAATAAGCCAAAAATATCATGACACCGGTGTAATCAATAGATCACCTAAAATACCGCTTCAACATTGATTAAATATACATAGATAGCCCATACAATGATCATTTATGGAAGCTTCCAATAACCGACCGGGGGAGCTAGAAATCTAGTAGTATGGGAGCTAGACATCAGAGTGCGCTATTTTTGTGGTTCAGTGGTCATATTATACGGCTTATTATACGGTTCCGATTTCGAATCCTGCAAAGTACAACAGATTTTTTTTTCTTTTATTTATCTTTACAATACGACTATTGACTAAGTATATCTTAAGAATTTATTCATATTGAAATAAATTAAACATGGCTGAGAATTTTTTAATTAATATATGATCATTTTAGCTGTTACTTATAACAACATTACTAGACAATTTTCGAAAAAAGGTTAAATGTTGTATAACGACATAATTCAAAATTGCAAAAATGTAAATTTAACGCAATGAGTGAATTAAGCATGATAATATAAGCGTACAATTTATAAATATAGTGTATAAAATATGAACAAGGTGTTATTCATGATATATCTTAAAATAGATATTTAATATTGCCATTGGTTAATTCATATTTAGTCTATTAAAACGATGATATTACTATTTATGAATATTATGTGCTGTATATGTGTTATAAATGGGTATTAACTCGTTATCACAGTATATAATTAGTTTTCAAATATACTATTTATTTTTGACAAAACAAACATTTAAAACGTTTTATTTTGTAATACTGATAAATACGTATCTGTACTTCTATAGTGACATGTCATTGTGGTTCATGAATATTACTATCTTGTTTCTGCACAGTAGAAAATACTTTAACATTTTTTATTTAATTAATTTAAGCGTTTTGGTGGTGTGCGTCTATAATAATTATATAAATGTCTCGAAAAAGTGGACACAAGTGTTTATATTTTAATTGTGGTAATAGTGGACGAACCGTAAATAATCTTAAGCTTTATCGATTTCCAAAAAACCCAAAACTTCAACAACAATGAGTTATAAATTCAGGTAAAATATATTTTAAATTATAAGTTATAAAAAAAATATTGTTAGATACCTACTCAAAACGTTTTTTAAATATTATTTTTTTAAAAGTAATTTCAAAAATACATTCTGGGCATTTAAGTTTATTAAATAATAATAAATTAAAATATTATTTTTATAATTTTACAATATTTCAAACTACTCTAAAAATTAAATAAAACACTTTTTTAGGCAATGTCGACCTCATTCATTTAGAAACTAATGATTTGTATAAAAAACATATATGCATGAATCATTTTCAAGATTTTGATTTCAACAATGACACTAAAAAATATTTAAGAAAATCAGCCATTCCAATACCATATCAAGAAAATGCTTTTTTCTACGTTCGCACTCCAATAAAAACGTATTCATCTAAAATTTTAAAGCATAACTCACCTTCAATGTCAACTTCAAAGTAATACTCTCCCACAAAATCGATTTATATTCCAACACCGACTATTTAATCAATGACTTCAACGAATAACATATTCTTTAAAATAATAGTCGAAAAGTGTGTGAAGAGCATTGATGATAAATGATAAGATTTAGTTATTATTTTTCATATTTTTATTGAGATTATTTTCGGCATTCAATCTCAATTTTCACGTTATTGGTTTAATTGATGCTTGTGAAGTACAATCGATCGTAAATTATATTTATGTTCAACTTATTTGGGTTCTTTTTACATTTTATCGAGTAAACTTCGGTACGTCTCTTTTGTATATTTTATAATGTATTACATAGATAGTTAGTCATTCCCAGGACTGAATCAAAGAGGGAGGGAGCTTGGGGGGCTATAGCCTCGGGCTACAAGCTACCAATAATTGGTTTGTTTTCATACAAAATGACATCAAATAAATAAAATGATATTATAATTTTCTAAAATATACAAATAAACTAAACTTGTTATAATTAATATTTATTACAAGTAACTAAATCTGAAGAAAAAAAAAATGGAAATTTTTTTGTAAAAGGGCCTCACTAAAAGTAATAACCCCCTCATATTATGACCATAATCCGGCCCTGGTTATTCCCCATCGAAATACGTAGAAAATACGACATTTTTTCAAGACAAGACTCAGAATCGGACTTACGATTATCTCATACAGCCAAGAAAGAACGTCCGTTCGGAGCCGTAACGATCTGCTACACACTAATAGTTTAATATTTTGTAGTGCCGTTATCCCATCTAACCGTTGTCCACACCGATGCGATCCGTTAAAATAGCGGGACTTCTATACTCTAGGTCCCACACTCCCCTCTTATGGGGCCTTGATTCTAAATACTACTGATAGTTATATATATGACTCAAATTATATGTGTGGCTAACACCTTTATTATGCTTAAATAAATTATATGTGCAGCTAACACCTTTATTATGCTTAAATCATGAATATTTTTTGTTCTTTGGTTTTTGAAAATTTAAATGTAATAAAATACCATTTTTATAAATACATCCATAGATTTTTTGTAACCATTATGGATTATTTTGAGTCGATGTTACTAAATTGGTTTTCAGTTATTGATTGCATTATTAATTTAACACATTTTATGCAAAGATTATATTTACCTTATATTTGTAAATATTTAATTGGACACATATTATACATCGGTACTTTTATTGAAATTTTCATGTCCAGGAAATGTCTTGAAATTATCGAAAATTTGTTATATTGTCGAAATTGCAGGAAGACTGCGAGATCCTGTTGTAAGATTTGAAATCGAGGTTCTTAAGAACTCTTACTTCTATTATAACTCAGCTGTTGTGGATATCATTGAGTATTTATCAAACGATGGTACACGGATGGGCTCGCTAGTCTTTTTATTACGTCATATATTATCCAGACGGAGTTCGTGGTACATTTTAAGCGCTATTTATGTTATACATTGTTGATGCTGTAAAGCTCTAAGAAAAATATAGCGCGATTCTCCGTTTTCATATACATGTAGATATAATACCTGTGTGAATAATGGATGGAACAATGTGCAGAGTCTTTCGAGTTTGGCATTACTGTTGTCGATCCTCCGACGTCCGAAGACGTTCGATTTTTTTGTCGTAAAATAGAACGTTATGCGTGTACACTCAGTAACTTGATGCGTATTTACGATTGCAATAATATATTTAGACACCAGTTTTTATTAATCGTGAAACGTTCTGAGCGATCAAACATTTGCGCACAATAATTGTAAGTTATAATCCGACCGGAATGTGCTGCAGTTCTACACACGCGTCGTGTCAGTCATTCAAATTCTATTTCTCGCACGTTTACTCAGGGAATACGATGGATCGCGATGGCCACCTTTTATTCGGAGAACTAATAAATTAATGCGACCGACGATGTGCAGACTCTCTGAAAAATATTAAAACGGCCGTACCGCACCTCTGACTTTATTGTACTTAGGTAGTTCAGATTCAGCATATAGATACAATACAGATACAAGCATATAGAAATGAATAACACACACTCGCGTGACCAATTTAGACGTGTTAACAGTTTACGATTGTGTTTAATGACAATTGATTGTTATTAATGCTAATGATTGTGGTTATACGTTTTCATTAATAGAATATTGGTCGATATTAAGAATAGTTATAATGAATTTGTACCGATCATTTTGTTGTCAACCGATGTCCGAACACTCAATGAAATAATTTCAACAGCGCACGCTGTTCCGATAGTGGATTTATTTTAAGTTTATTATAATTCTTGTATTTTTTATATTATTATTACTATCATTATTAGTGTTATTATTATTTTTAATTCTTACGATGGAAAACAATAAAGAAGAAGGTACATACGTTTTTATAGAAAACCAATTTTCAATTTTACTGTAATCTGAGAAACGTTGGTACTGGTGCATAAAAAAAATATTCTTTTTCATTTTAGAAGCTGAGTGTCATGTAATTCAATCCGTAGATCTGGACAGCGCAATCGAAATGGTCGGTAAGTTGTTACTTGAAGCTAAAGTTTCTGTACGCGTTCACCCTTTTGGTGTTTTGTACAGCCATACATTGTGACTAATTAGATACAATAAATATATAAGTTTTATATTAATAACACTAAGTTACCATGAGTAAAGCGTATTGTTCAGTTTTACTACAGTTAAATTTCAGGAAATAAAATTACATTTTACCGATTTGATATTATGTTGATATATACTTCGTAGGACTAAATATGTAAAAGATTATAATATATTGAATATTTTTACACATTAATTGTCGATATCGCGATTAAATTATGGAAACCGTGTACTAAAATATGTGTTAATTTCTTATTTTACGTTTTATAATATGAAAAAACCCGACAGTTGAAAGCAACGTATTATGTTAAACTGCAAGTGCATTATGATCTATTATAATAATCGGCGTTTATTAGTTGGGTCTCGAAGACCCTTATTTAGTCTAGTTAAGTTCCAGTGTTTTTCAGGTAGGTATTTTTTCAGGTAGTACACTAGTTGGGTCCCACGACTTTACAAGTACTACTCTAGTTAGATCCATACAAAAAAAAATGTCACTTCTCATTTATATAGACCTAGGACTGTCAGTTACCTATAAATTAGAACACAGGTATGATTTTTTTATTTTAAAGTTTTCAATATATGTTATATATTAATTGAAAATTAGAATACTGATATATGGTAAATAAATTAATTAAATGATTAAAAAATGTAACAAACTCAAATCTATTAATTTTTTAGTTATCAAGTGTTTCAATACTTGAAAGTTACAGGTTTTATTGTTGTAGTGGTCGGACCGAACTAGTATGTTATGATTTTTATAGTCGGACCGAACTCGTATGTTATTGTTTTTATAATCGGATCCAATTAGTTGTTTATCTTTATCATAAATATTATTTGGGACCTAACTCGGATACGCCCATAATAATATCTTTCATTATTTATCTTCAAGTCGATATAATACTTCAGAATTAAAATACCTGGTTGAATATCATAAAAACCAACACTTGCTATTTGGGTAATACTTATTAGAAACTATAATTAAATTGTAATATTCACACGTGGACATATATTTCTTAACACTATAGCAATGAACTTAACACTATTTGTATGTAATCAGGTATCGGTAAGATTCATTACTACATATTGTTCATTTGTGGATCACTTTTCACGGCGGTCGCTATTAGTGTAACGTCAGTGTCTTTCATCTTACCATCAGCCCAATGCGATTTTCAAATGACTTCTGTTCACAAAGGTCTGCTAAATGGAGCTACGATGATCGGTACGTTAAATCATTTTTTATACGACTATTGCAGTAAATCATTCCATAGTTGGCTCATTACAGGAATGTTTAGCGGATCGTTTATTTGGGGCTACATATCGGATTCTAGAGGCAGAAGATACGCACTGATTTTCAGCATGCTAATAGATGGTTCCTTTAATCTCTTATCAAGCGTATCTCAGATTTATCCAGTGTTAATAATTTGCAGGCTCATGAGTGGATTCGGGTAAAGGAAAAAAATAATCTTATGCGTAGAACTCAAATAATATAATTATTATTAACCACGTTGTTCTGTTATTTGATCATTATGAAACTCAACTTTATAGTTATGATGACTTAATTGTTGACACAAATCAAATGTGCACATTTATGTTTTTTTGGTTATTTACAGCGTGTCCGGTGCTACGGTACTGTACTCGTACCTCGGCGAGTTTGTGAACACCAAGTATCGAGAGAAATTCTTATGCTGGATGGAAATGTTCTGGACCATTGGGATAATAATACTACCATGTAAGTTTTAATATTTATGTAATTATATCTTATATCATATGAATTTATTAAAAGTTGCACTTAATATTTTCTATAATAATATTCCCTTTTTGGGATCTATCCCATATATGGTAGTGTACTGAATGTCTAGCTATTGTCAACACATACTTCGATTGCGAGAACTTATAATGGGTCCAAAACGTTAAACTGATGATATTCTTATATAATGGAAAAAAAAATACTTTTTTAATTATAGTTAAAAAAAAGTTATTATATTTTTAAATTTTTTTTCTTTTATATCCATCTATATAGTTGTTTATACACACAAATTAAGAAGGCTGAGAAAATAAAATTAACAGCTGTAGTGAATATAAATGATGTAATGATTGAATTAATTAAAATAATTTATCAAATTTCATCATTGGATTTCAATATAGTTTATTTTTTTGGCATGATCAGCAGGATAAATTGTGAGTGGCTTCGCCCCTCTCCTTGCTGCCCCTTTCTGTTTTCAAAAATTAAATTTTAAATCAAACTTATTATTAAATATCATACATACCACAATAAACTATGATTAATGATACATAATTTTAAATAAATGGAAAAGATAACAAAAGGCCAACAATATAGTTTATTTGTTTTTGTACAACCTGAAACCACTTAAAAGTATTGTAATACTCATAGTTAAATGTTTGAATATAATTTTTGACTTAGTTGTTAAACAAGGTAGTTTTGGGGTTGGTTTTACTAATTACATGATAATGTTTTTTTTATTTTATTGAAATTAAAAGAACAAACAGTCCTTGATAATAATTTTTAACTGTACAATCGCACACCATATAGTTTTACAAAATTAATTTTATGAATTTAAATATTGAAAAATCATAATAATTGAATATAAATATAAATTATCAATTATAAATAAATATAAATTATCTCAATCATTTAAATTATATATACTTAAGCATAATGTAACTATTTTATGGCAATTGTAATTCAACAGTTAAATACAATTTAATATATTTTCAGGTTTAGCGTGGTTAGTCATGCCACAAACATTTAGAATCGAGTATGGATTCTTTTTATTCAGATCATGGAATTTATTTACAATTATTAGTGCTCTTCCCAGCTTAATATTGGCGTTTTTATTGATGAAGCTGCCAGAAAGTCCAAAATTTTTACTCGCCAAGGGTAAATACAACGAGACCATTGAATGCTTGAAATTTGTTCATAGATGGAATAATAACACTGATGTCAAATTCCCTGTGAGTTCAATTAAACCAAGTTTGTGTCAAATAAATGCCTTATACATATGTTCGTACACACAAAACTCGTTTATATTTTGATTCGATCGGTTACTTTAGGTGACATCTATCGTGGCACCAGATTACGTTCAAGAATTGAATAAAGGATTCTTGGTTGGACTCTACGAGAGTACCATCGGGCTGTTCACTTCAAAATTTAAATATGTAGCCATAATTACGTGCATCATTCAATTTTGTTCCACCACCAGGTAACAGCGGATTGAACGGACGTCAAACGTTCATAACTGATAACAAAACAGCTTTCGATGCCTGTATAACCGATGAACAATATCATATTGTATACTAAACTTGTCCCGCACTTTTTTCTTTTTTTTTTTTTTTGGGCCCCAGTTACTACATGTTGATGTTGTGGTTTCCGGAGCTGATGAACAGATTTTTATGGTACGAAACGTTGTACACGGGTTTTCCGAATATGACAACAATGTGTGATATCGTATCCCTGTATAAAGTCGAACCTGACGATATTGACGGCAAGTGCAACGATGACATCGACGAATCCGTATACATGAACATCGTCATCATCGGCTTCGCCTGCATACCTACTAGTCTTATCGTACCACTGTTCGTCAACAAACTTGGAATTAGATTTTTCTTAGGTTCGGAAACTTGAAAAGATTTTTTCTTATTGATCGTTGGTATTAAAATATGATATTCTACGTATTTAATAATCAAAATTAACCTGCGTGGCTAATATAATTAATTATGTTCAGTTACTCTCTATAGGTATATCTATGTATTTTTATTATTATTTTCATATAATTTAAGCTATTTTTGCATAACACCATATTTTTAAGCTAACTCAATAAGTTCTCATACGATAATAATATATTTTCAAGTCAAATAATTAGACATATTAATAAATATTAAATCGTTGTTATAATGTTAAAATGATTGAGTATGGTATTTAATTAATATATATATATATATATATATATATATATATATTTATAGGTAGCTAGCGAAATAAATATTAAATATCAATGATCACATTATGAATTACATTTTATTGAACGATTATATAGCACAGTTAACATGTAATGTTTAATTGTATTCACGTTTATCTCAAAAATTACAATTTTTTCGGTTACATATACAAGTTGTTCCTATAATGGCTGAGAAAACTAGTATACGCGTACTCTTTGGAGTGACCAAAGAAAAATATCTTTAAATTATTTTTTTATCTTCAAACTCTGGGTTTTATATAATTATGTATCTATAGAACATTATTTCGAATATAAAATTAATACTTGTGAGATATTTCTTGCGAATTTCTCACGTGAAACGATATGTGACATACATTTTGGGCTTTTCGCGCATTTTTCACGGCTGAGTCGCCAGGATCAATAAATGTGATTTGTATGAGAACTCTGGAAGATTAATGAAGATGAAATATATTGGTTGATATTTCACTTATCTGATTAATTAATACGGTTTTTATTGTAAAATAATCATAATTAAACAAAATGTATTTGAAATTCAATAAAAACCGTGTTTGTTAATCAGATATGTGAAATAATGATCAATAAATTTCATCATATTTCATCTTGCAGAATTCTCACACAAATGGATATGTCACACCACATCTTTTGATCCTGGCGACTCGAGCTAGAAAAATGCACAACAAGCCCAAAATCGACGTCACATATTGTTTCACGTGAGAAATTTGTAAGAAATGTCTTACAAGTATTAATTTTTAGATTTTAAACAATGTTATAAAAATAATTAAAAAAAAACCAGGGTTTTAAGGCAGAAAGAAAATTTCAAAATATTCTTCATTTGGGCACTCTAGAGAGTACGCTTTTACAAGTTTCCTTGGCCATTTCAGGAACACTCTGTATAACAGAAGATTCGAGTACAGCTGACTATTTAATTAATGTCATTAGATTTTTTACTGTCACAGTTCAGACGTTATAACTTTAAATTAAGTCTTATCTCAATTTTAAATATACATTATATTTTATCCTACATATTATGTAAAAATATTGCTCGAGATTCGCTAACAATATTTTTACAAATGACCTACTTTTACTTAGATTTACGATTATTGTTTATAACATTTTAAATTTATCATTCATTTGATATAGGAGTTTGTTTTTTTGGATCTGGAGTATCAGCTGCTTGTTTGTATGTAATTACGTCTTCACATTCGAATCTCATGTTATCAGCCGTGTTTGAATCTCTATCCAGCGCGGGGATTAGTTTAATGTATTGTATCGCTGTGGAACTATTTCCAACAGAATACAGGTAAAATTCTATAGAAAACATAACCGTTGAATTAATTGGTAATATATGTTGTCATTGTTTAGGGGAATGGCCGTATCGATAGGTTCGACGTTTGGTAAAATAGGCGCACTTTTAGGGAATGTAGTTGTTGGAGTGTTCATCGATGAATATTGTACAGTTCCAATTGTGGTAGCGTGTTCGTTTTTGATAAGTTAGTATGATATTCAATTAACATAATATGGTTTAATCGTTAAATCTTATATTTTAGTTATGTAATCCAAAAGTCTCAAAATTTTTCATATTCCATCATACATTTTAACTTTACGAAAGTATTCAGTTATATTACTATCAATTTAACAATCTAATGACCTAATGTCTGCTTAAATTTTAATTATAATAGTAAAAGCAAATTATGAAAGGCGTATTGTATTTCACAGGATGCCAAAAATTAGATCTTTCCCATTCGGTTTCGGTATAAAGATAACTTAAATATAGTACTGTATATGCAAACGAATAACCGGTATACTGAGAACATCTTCATAGTTCACGTTATTCAAAGTTATAATCTAACCTAACCGAGAACTATTGTCGTGAATATCACGTTAACATTAACTATTCCAATGGTTAAATCAGTTATTAGTTGTAGATGTTTTAATTTGAAAATTAAAATATTAAAAGTTCAAACGTTCATTAGAATACTGCAATATTGCACAGCATTTACATCACCGTTGAACTTTCTTGCGGGGTTCGACGTACGTAATAATGTTCACTGCAGTAAAAAATTGTTAAATCTCAGTTTTCAGTTCATTCTCTAGTTAAAATTTATAAAAAATATTATATCTTTGTTTTATAAAAATTCACAATAGTAATTTGGGGTTCTATTAATATGAATTTCTACATAATAATAACTTACGTAAACTTAGAATTGACGGATATTAATGACGTATCAAGATTAGAGGTCGCATACCAAACAATCATTTTTTTTAATATTAATACTTTAATTAACTTTAATATTGAACTACTGAAAAACTGATAGAGATACACTTTTGTACTATATGTTAGATGGAATTTATTTGAAGGTATTACAAGTAAAATTAGATAATAGTTTTATCGCGAGCAAAGTATGAAATGGCTTAATATTTTTGTTCCAAATAGTAATAAACTATTGCATTTAATGAGGAGAAATTAGTTACATAAAAGTTCTTGAATAACTATTTTCTAACTAGTTACATACATAATAAATATTCACTATTTTAGTTTAGTACCTAATTTTTATTTAAAAATTACTCAAATAAGACTTAACTATGCTTATTCAACTTCACTAAATTCACATAATTTACATTACTAAATTGCATGTGATACATTATATTCCTATATTCAATTTGTGGGTCGATTGAACTAAATATTTATTGGTTGTTTAGTTTCAGGGTTGTTAGTATATACGTTGCCTAAGACTGGGATTACTTCCACCAAATGAAAATAAGACATCTGATTCACTAGACATAATTTATAATATATAATTGGTAAATATTTTATTCAAATGTTAATTTTTTTCTATTATTTTTAATTTTTACAATACCTAGGTTATTATTGTTATTGTCTTGTTTAAGACATTAAAACCCTGTTCCTTAGTTTAATTATATATAATTTGGATGAATTGGTAAGATCATTTTCATCCATATGTTAGGTTAGGTTAGCATTATGATTATTTATTTGTGGAACTAGATTAATAGTATATAATTAATTGAAATTGCTTCTACTGTTCTGCTTCTAGTAACTGCTTACATGTGTACATATTATTTAAACTAATAACTATGAATTAAGTAAATTTAAATGGTTGTTAAAAATAATTATTTGTATTTGTAATTTATTTCTAGTAAAAAAGTAATCATTCAAGTGATTGTGTTATAATTATTCATTTTAAACTCTATTTGTTTAAGTATCGATTGAATGGATTTTAATTATGTTATATAATGTTTAATTTAAATTAATGTATCATGAAATAAAATATTTTACATGCTTGTATGAAAATTATAAAATATGTTATACGTTTTATTAGCAAATATAAAAAAACAATCAGAAAAAGTTAAGTATTAATGTTAGTGACAAAGGTTTTCTGACATGTGTTAAACGTTAATAAAAATAAGTTGCCAAACTATAACTTTTAACTTGTATAAGCTACACAATTTTTTATTATTAACTTCATAATTTTCAATTCATAGAACTTTAAAATTAAAATATTTGTTTTACCAAAAATTCTAGTTTTTTAAATAAATATAAACGCATGCTGGAAAATATTTGTTGGAACTTTGAATTTGCAATTTGATCAAAAGTTATTTTCGAACGCTTTATAGTGATTGAACTGCTATATTTGCCCTAATCCTGATTTTTTTGATTTATAGTTGCTGATAAAATTGAACAGAGGAGTTGACATTATTAAGTGTAAAATACCTTATTTTTTATAAAATATTTTATTTTATTTCAAATTTTTTTAATTTCATGTACTTTATAAAATATCTTATAAAGTACATGAAGTGAACGACCATATTGAGTAAAAATTACGCTGTTCAATTAGAGTGACCAATTCTTGAAAAAGAAATGATTTCGTGAAATATTTTCGTATTTCACGAAGTGTGAACGTTGGGAAATCTATAAGCTTTGATAAATTGATTAGCAGGTTCAGAATAAGTAGGCTTTACTATATACTCGATTGGATAACCAAAAACGATTAACGCAGCTGAACCACATTAAATTATATTTTCAATTTTATTTTACTTACAAATTTACAGAACAGCGTGATAACATTGGATATGTCCATCGAATATGTATGTATAATTGTAAAAGTAAGTGTAATATTTCATTTTGATTGCTAAAGTATTCTTCTACTTTCATGACGTTCATATCTCGATCTTCTACAGAGGCGGATTTAATTTTTGTTACGGCTATAGATACTATACATTTGTCGACCCAATTATTAAATATAATAGTACCTTTATTCATTGATTTTTTTAAACAACTTTGTTTTCGCTTTTAATTATTTAGCCTATTTTGGAAAAATTTCAATAGATGTCAAACAAAAAATAATGGAAACGTACAGTGATAATTCTAATTTTCGTGAGCCACTATTATTAAAACGATTGTTTGGACAGTTAAATAAACATTTCATCATTTTTAATAAATATAAAATAAGGAAATTTATATATATATATTTTTTTTATATGAATGATGTATTTAAATAAGATACTACAAAATTTTCCGCTCCCTAAATTTTGCCGGTACAGGCAGCTACCTCTTTGTCTACTTGGAACTACACCTCTGATCATCCAAAAGACCACAACTGCTTTGAAATTTGCTAGGCGCAAGTAATTTTTATCACAAATGGTTCCTATTATAGAGCATTGTTGTGGGTGGCCTATTGTTTGTGTTTTATTACATTGTATTTCCATTTCTTAATTGTGATTTCGTATCATCCTACTGAATGTTTTAATGACTTTAATTCCTTCTATTTTCTGGGTCATTAAATTAAGTTGGTTCCCTAAATATTTTTGGTTTAACTTTCTTAACTATCAAATTTACTCATTGTACATATAATAGCATAGAATGTAAATATTCAATAAACGATATTTTATTTAAAAAAAAAAAAAAACTTTCTTAATGTCATGGCATTTCTCATTTTTTAGGAGTTGGCGAGTAACTTCATTTGGTGAAACGTTTATATGTTATTCTACAATTTTGGGGTAAATTCCTAGGTTTCTCAACATTTTTTATATTTTTGAACTATTTTGAGTCATGTTTGTTTCACTTATCAGTGATTTAAATTTTTTTCCGTTTTTCTTATAGTTTTTCCATCAGAGATTCTCCGGTGGTAATAGTATATTCGGCAAAAGGATCATTGATAAAATGACTGATGTAATCTTCTAGTAATTTTTTATTTTCTTTACCCTTCCCTAGAATATACCGCGTTTTGAAACTTCTTGGTATGTTTTGTTTTGGAATTTTTTTTCTATGTTTGTGAATCGACCGTAATATTGTGAAAATAGTAAATAAATATAACTCATTTCAGGTGACTTTTTTTTTTTAATTGTCATGAATATTTATATTTATAGTAGTATATAATTTGTCCGGTGTTTCTTCTTTTTTTTGAGAATGACATAGTTGCTTTTTAATGATTTATATTAAGCTTTAAACTAATTAGTGGTACACGTTTTATTGGTATCTATTTTAATTTATAGATTAAATGTAATCAATATGCTTTACTGAATTATTAAATTACTTGAAATTTATAACAAAAAGTTTCATACATATACATTAAACCTGTAGAAAACAAGTTTATAATTTTGTTTAAAATATACCATAGTTAAATTAAAATACATATTATTAGGACTAGACTAACTTTAATAATTAATTACTACAATAAGATAGAACAACGAAATTAATAGCATAACTTTTTAGATAAACAAATAACATCAAAACAGTATGCTTATTTCAACCATCTAAATCAATTACAGTTCAAGGTTATATAGAAATTTTCATAGTCCATTAATTCATTTTTATAACATGTTCCTAATTAAAAAAAAAAAAAAAATAAAACATATAATCCCAATTCGTTAATAATTAAAATACTTTTTGCATAATGAATTACAATATTGTTAGTAGTGTCGATTTCATTACTGAGAAGTATAATATTAAATTTTCTGATTTATTTTGATAAAGTCACAGTGAAATAAGTTTAGCTCATGTTTATTTTAAGTTTAAAAATTAATTGGTTCAATATCTTAAATTCTAGTAGCTCTGATTACTTATCTATAACTGTAAGGCCATTTAGTCTGATAATTTATTTAAAATGCAAGTGTACAATATATGTTCCGTAATGCATCAAATATTATTACAACATAAGTAGTATTTTATAATAGATAAATATATATGCTCAAATGATTATATTTAATACAGATCCAATCCTAAATTCCAAAATATTATAATTTTAATACAATTAATTAAATTATGTCATATAATTAGACCTATGGATCATAATAAATTTAATTTTTAAAGGAAGATGTACTATGGACAAAAGTACATTAATCAAATAAATTATATATCAACAAATGTGATGAGTATATCAAAACAGTTTCTTTAAAACTTATTACTAATAATAAGTTATAATTATTAATTTATTATAAATTTATTTTTTATTATTATATCAAACGATAAAATGCTTAATAAAATGTTAATTATTCGATGAATTCCGGCTTTTTTTTAGTTTTTCTTTCACTAAGCAAAAATTACCAAGTACATTTAAAATTTACTCTTTCCTTGTATAATATAATACGCTTATTATATACTGTTTATTATATAGACATTTGGAAAAGTTTTATTACTAGACATATTTTCACAGAAAAATCAAAAAACAATAATAAAAAAAATCGTCTTTGTAAAACCAAAAAATTCTTCATTCCATTAATAATTACCATTTGGCAATTCGAAATGATGGTATTTTTTCATAACTATGAAATTGAATGTTTTTTTTTATTAGAAACAGTGAAAAATATTATTAAAGACACATATTTATATAAATTACACTTTTTAATTTATAATTTAAACAATAAACGCGAATCAAAAGATAATTAGATGGGAAAATTCATTACATGAATGATATGATTTTTATTTAGAAATTATAGCGTTGCAGTAAGACAATGAAATATGACAGTTGTTATTTAAAATTTAATTGGAAATTATAATTAAAATTTAGAATATCATAAAATTAAATCTTCAAAAAAATCCGGAAATACACATATTCTTGATATTGCTACCATAAAAATTATATTTAAAAAATTACCTATTTAAAGAACTATAAGCATAAGATTTCAAATGATTAACAGTCGAAACTTAAATATATTTGTAAACGACTTATAAAAAAACCTAAGTAATAAATTAATACTTCAGTAGGTAATAAAAAAATACATCATGATAAATAAGAAATACTTTAAATTATATGAGTCACACCAGTCACAACACACTTTGTTGTCAATGTTTTCTCTTTAAATTTTAAAATGATAAAGTTAATTATTGAGTATGTCTTTGAATAACTTTAAAAAGTACTTTGAGCTATCAATTTAATGTTTAGAATTTACTTCTAGATGTGGCACATTAATTATTTTAATTGGACACCAACTAATATAGGTAGTTAATATAATTACATAATCGTCATAAATATAGATGGGATTTCTTTAACTCTCAGAAAATCAGTGTTCATCTTGATTTGTTCTATGACGAACGGATGTAATGGAATACCTTTTAGAAAACCGTCTATTTCATAATATATGATTATTAAAATTGATAAAATTAAAGTTTTAAGGATTTCTACAAATTGTTTTGTTTAGCATTCAATTATGTATATATGTGCACATCAAAACATTTAAAGAAAGTATATAACAACAAAAAAAAAATGTTAGATTTAAGTTTTTTCAACTCTGATATCACCTATACAACAATTTATATCAGGTAAGTCATATTTTACTTCTAATTCTAATATAATTTGAAGTAAATTCAAGACATAATATAAGTATATATAAAAATATTTCCAATATACGTTGATAGTTAATTTAATTAATTACCTGTGTATACCAAATACATTAATTTTACCCCAAAAATGTTTGTAAATGTTTGTCTTTGGCATATTAATAACAGTAAATAATAACTATGATTTGTTTTAACTTTTATTACTCTAATAATCAACGGAAATTGTACGCTAAAACTGTTATAATGGACTTTAGAAACATTTATAAATTATAATAAAATATATTACGAACTATTATTATTCACAGTAAAAACTGAACAGATTTGTTTTGTTTATCTGTATGTACGTGTAATTATTATTTAATTAACTATTGATGAATGCAATAACCAATTTACTATATTTCCTATATTACTATATATTTTATTTACTATATTTCTATCCTGAAAATTTGTATTGACGAGACGTCAGTGGCGTGCATGATAATAGTATGCATTTGTTAGCGCAATAAATTAGTAAAATAAACAAATAATATTCCTCTTTAATATAAAGTTTTTAAAAGTTAACCTGATGAGAGATAATAAATAATTTATCTTTGTTTTAATTCTTTGAAAGATAGTTATAATAATTAGGGCAATTAAACACACTATCGGGTTTAAACGCAATTTGATTTCCTATGTGATGTACGTTAGATAATATGTCAGTGTGAAACTTCCTCGAAAAACATATTCTGTAATTTAAAATACGGTTTATTATGATATAAATTTTAAGTTTTAATATGGTTCCACTGTAAATTTTTTTTCTCAGCAATAATAGTATTAATAATAGTATTATGATCGTCTAAGTCAGGGATGGTCAACTCACGGCTCTCCTTGGAAAGTATGCGGCCCGCAAAATTTATCAAAAATTTACAAAAACAATTAATTTTTATCCTGATAAAATATTCTGGAATCCGTATTATTTAAAACGTAATCGTAACATACTGTTTGATTCATCAACAAAATCTTTTTTCCCAAGGATGAACCATGTTATGCAAGTAGTCATAAAAACAATGAATTACATTCGATCATATGCACTTCCACACCGACAATTTAAAGAGTTCTTGAAAGAATTAGATTCAGAATACGATGACGTGGTATATTTCAGTCATGTCAGATGGTTAAGTCATGGAAAATGTTTATAACGATTTTATGAGTTACGTCATGAAATTGACTTGTTTATGAATGATAAGCAAAAACCAGTATTACAATTAAGTAATGATGAATGGTTATTGGATTTGTGTTTTTTAGTAAATATTATCGAAAAACTCAACCAATTAAATATATCATTACAGGGAAAAAATAATTTATAATTGACTCATTTTATCATGTCAATGCATTTCAGAAAAAATTATTAAAAATAATAACGTTCAAAACTTTCAATTGCTTAACGAATTGAAAATTTCAAAACATATCGATAATATTAAATATGCAAATGAAATAAGGAAACTTACAACTACTTTTGAAAATCGTTTCACTAATTTAAAGAAATATATTCATCTCCTTTTCATACTGATGTCAAGTCGGCTCCAGAATATCTTCAAATGAAACTCATTGACTTACAATGCAATAATGAATTAAATTTTTGAAACATCAAAATCAAAAATAGATTTTTATAACATTAATATCACAAAGGTAACATTTTCCGATTTAAGATATCTGACACAAAAAGTGCTTTTGGATCGATTTACACATGTGAATCGTTTTTTTTCGAAAATGAAATTCACCAAAGTTAAATCACGCTCAAACCTAATAGATGTAAACCTGCAATATCAATTACGATGTGCAAATACAAGCAATTCTGTTAATTTTCAAAAGTTTAGTGAACGAGTTGAAAAAAAAAAAAATTTGTTTCTCAACTCGTTCAATAAAAGATATTTAGTATCTCACTGTAGTAAAATCCATACCCGTGATTTGGATTATCGTATAGTATAATGTTCATTATCTGAAGGTCTATTGATGGTAAAAGTTAGATTGTCGGAATAGTACGTATTGAAGTTAGTGATTTTAATAGTTCGAATAATTATCGGGACATAATGCGCCCACGGTACTACGAATGCGTTCCACGCAATATATTGCACAACTTAGAGGTGCACGTTTTACACAAGAAAATATCGTTAATGTTCTATACCGTTATTGTGCACGCATTGTCTTTAAAAATTTCCCGTGATAATAAACAAATAATAATTACATAAATGTATGACGGGGATCGCGGTGCAATATGTTTGTGCGATCCAGAAATCTATTCCGTACCAGCAAAGTAGAAAATATACTCGTACCTGTCATTCGTTTTGAATCCGATCAATGTGCAAATTAATTCGATAACGATAATTAGATTTTTCGACTTGGATAATTTCAAATATTCTGGCTCTATTGTACGTACGCGTTATCGGCTGTAAAATTAACTTAAACAAGCATATCGTCGTACGATTTTCATGAAGGGATGCGCTGAACAGTCATCACTTCACTGCTACCCTCCGATGGCCACTCTTGTTATGGTCACGTTTGAATGTCGAAACAAAGGACGGGTCGCACAACACGTGGCACGCGCAATCGTTACTACGCGCGAGCGTTGAAGATAATGCGTTTTTCCTAAATGATATTACAATACACTATAATCAGTATGGACCACCACTCTGACGGTACTCGCCCGGCGACGCGTGTATAGTTTTGTTCTAATAACAAGCGCGTACCGTGACGTATAATGTGTTGTTGTGTTGGCGATTATGTGGCTTTGTGACTTCAGTAAATTGTATACGTATATTTGTGTAATGCAGTTTCCGCGGACGTTACTCGTGAGGCCACCATCGAATATTTAATCGATCGAATCGTGGTTGTTGACGACTAACAATGTATAATAGCTAACATACAAGGTAAGTTGATATTGTTTCACGCGTATACTTCGAATTCACTATGCTCGTGCTATACGTCACTGGTATGCGGTACGAGGACTTGAGGTAAGAACGCCACGATTTAGACATGAAGTTGATTGATTTTGATGTTGCCGTTGATCTAAATATTTTGTCTGTTGGCGAATGTTTACCGTAATATTTTTGAGTAAAAGTTGTAATCAAAAATAAAACAATGATATTCGATTTGAAGAAACCACTGATCGTTCATACGACAATACTTCGTGAAAAGTTAGGATTGTTTTGTTTTTTTGCAATAACTATAGTTTATTGACTGGAGAATTGTAATAGTGATGTTATTGAATAGCTATTGTAACGGACAGAATACGTATAAGCCCTTAATTAAACTGTAATCGTTGGATTCAAGATTCGTTTTCAACTCCTAAATGAGCGCCAAAAACATAATTATAATATCTATTTGAAATTTTCAGATTCTAAGGAGCTGGACGTGGTAAGGGTGTGTTGCAAAGTTGCGTCTATACCACGTGGGTAGCTTGTCCGGGGATCGGTGACATCATGACCGCCCATGATGACTCGAAGGCGCACGAGTTCTGCAAGAACGACGCGGTGGTGAAGCGCAAGAAGATGCCGCAGCAGATTCCGGACGATAGCCATGACACGTGGAAAACCATGAGCATCGTGCCTAAAGCCAAGTTCGTATTGAAGAATTGCACGATAGAGCCGATGTTCGGGTGTTACATCATGACCAGCGTGCTGACGTCCATGTGCACGCAAAACCTGAACCTACAGAAAGCGTGCCGGGTGAACCTGATGCTGAATGACACCGTCTGCTCAGCGCTGGAGACACAGAACTCGAAGGACTACGGAAAAGAGGAGGTCAGGGTTCAGGAGCTGGTGGCCGACATGATGATATGGAAGACGTTGGTGCAAAGCAGCATACCGGCCGTATTGATAATGTTCGTCGGCTCGTGGAGCGACCGGAACTGCAGGCGCAAACCGTGCATGATGATGCCAATCGTGGGCGAATTGCTCACCAGCCTCGGCCTGTTGGTCTGCACGTATTACTTTTACGAGATGCCCGTGGGCATCGTTGGGCTGGTGGAGTGTTTACCGCCGGCCATGACCGGTGGATGGATGACAATGGACATGGCAGTGTTCAGCTACATAGGCGACGTGTCTTCGGTGAGTTCAAAGTGTCGTACCAGCCGTTGACGTCGATAGGTCAACAGTCGCGATTTTTTCGTTTCCATTATTCAAGTCGATGTGTTGTTGTGATCGAATTTGATGATAGCGAGATAGATACATAGTTTTGTGCCGGGTTCCGTAAGATCGAGTTCTATCATTTTGTTTGATTTGTTTTAAAACACAATTAAAACTATGAAAAATAACTCGTTTACGAAATCTTAAAAATTGCGTTATTTAGTTTCACTGTCGAATGGTAATACAGTAATAAGTAAGAGAAAACCGGTTCAAAATTACTAATTTTTACAACATTTTAAGAAATTTTTTTTTTTTTAATTTACTTTCAATTTACAAAACTACAATAAACCTTTATTATTACTACAAATTCTGATGTATTTTTCTGTATTCCGAGTATAATAAAAAAAGCGATACGAAATCAAAACCAAAATTGCATCACTTATTCAAAACGAATTAATATAATTTAAATGAATCACAGCTTAAACTCACACTAAATTGAAGTTTCCAAACGATGACGATTTAAATTATTCTTCTAATAATAAATAATACATTCTAATAAACTATCTAAATAATAAATTACTATAATTACCTACACTCGCTAAGTAGGAATTTTCAAGGAAAAAATAAATTCTGTCAATTAGTCAATAAATTCGCTTACTCGGGTCTATAAAATAATATCCAAATGCAAAAAAAAAAAAATTATAAAATATTTTTAAAAGAATTTAGTTCATCATTAGTCTTACATTTTAGTGTACGTATTAATACGAGTTATATTTTTATAGAACTCGATGTTATAGGAATCATCAGTTTTTGAGGAATCGATTCATAATTAAAAGTGATTAAAATGTATAAAGTTCCGTTTTATCTTCGCCGTGAGACAAAATTATGAAAAATGTTTTTGTTTGTTTTACAGGTGAAATATCGTACTCTGAGAATTGGTATTGCTAACGTCTTTTATTCCGTGTCTGTACCCATCGGTACTGCGCTGTCTGGCATATTGTTTCAAAAATTCAGATTTTATGGCGTGTACATCATAGCAACGGTACTATATGTATTCGCCATTACTTATGGTATGGTTTTCATTAAGGAATCAAAGCCAGAACATTTGGCGCAGTGCGATCAACCACCCAAAGTCACATCCTATTTTAATTTGATCAAGGACTTTTTTGACTTGAGCAATATTAAGGAAGCCATTGTAGTGACATTTAAGAAAGGGCAGCACAATAAAAGACTGAGGATAATTTTTCTAATGATTATCGTCTTCGTCGTAACTGGTCCTTTATATGGTTCGTAACTCCACGAGTGTTAAATTTCACTTTTTAAATATTTTTATAATTTATATAATATTTATAAACCTTTGGGTTTATAATAAATAAATAAACGGTTTGTAATAAATTCATGTAGGCACGTTTAAGTTTTTAATATTATCATTTTATTATGATTTTTTTTTCTTTTTAAGATTACAACCGTTAGGTTGGTTTGACAAAAATTATTAGATTATTGTGTAAAAAGGATTTATTATTCTACAGTAGTTTCCTTGTCTACGTTGTCGATGGGAGGGTAATGAAAATATTTTTCTTTTAAAAGAATTTTTTTACTCAGAGAAAGAGTGAGAAAGAGGAGAGAAAGAGAGGCGACTCGTTGTCAGATTCGAATTATCGACTACTATAATATATAAATTTAAAAATAAAATAAATTCTAATTCCGATTATCATATTTTTTTAACTGTCATAACTTTTTTTTATTATATACGCTGCCATTTTGTGCGACTGTTTCCTTAAAAATGACCATTATTACCTTCGTTATTTTTATTTATTTATTATTTTTATGAACATTTAAAAAAATGTAAAATCTTTAGATTAAAATAAATTATACATAATAATAATTTAAGGCAAACATAGGCTACGAAAAGTTTTTAGTGTGTATCATTAATCAATATAGGTTCTTTAATACAATTTATAATTGTAACTATTACTTTAATCAATGATACACAGAGTATACTGCAATATTATGTATTATTAAAATTATAATTGTAATTGAGTTGAGAACATCACTATTAAATTCGCAGGTGAAATATCAATGATGTACATGTTTACACGTGTGAAATTCGGTTGGACCGAAATGGACTATAGTCTGTTTTCCACATATGCAATGATCACCAATCTTTTGGGTAATATCCGTCGTAATATGTACGTATGTGTATCATACTTATATATCTTGCTTATCGTTTCAGGTACAATATTTTCTGTAGGCGTGTTCAGTCACATATTGGAAATCGACGATGCCTTAATCGGAGTAATGTCGTGTATAAGCAAAATATTGGCCGGATTCGTTTATGCATATGCTCCCACTGATTTTGTATTTTACTTAGGTTAGTTGTACTTAACATTTTAGTAAATAGTTCTCTTATCTCCTATGAAACTAAAATGTATACTTTAGATATTTTTTTTTTTACCATAGTGACAATGACTTATGATTATAAAATTATGTGTGATCACTGCAGCGGTCCACTTGGTACTCTTGAACTTTAAAAAATTATTTAAGTTACGAAAACCAGCTGGATTTACTTTTTTTTTTAACTAGTGTAAATGTAAAAGCAATTGAACTTATATTTATTTTACTAAAAGTTAATAGCGGAACAATTTGTTCGAATCATGAGAATGAAGTGTTTGTTAAAATGTTTGTTCGGTTAAATTGAAATGATACTTTAGTCCTAACAGTTGTGTTACAACAAACTTTTAATAGCGTAGTATTTGAATAACATCAAAATTGCTTCCGGGAAATGAAATTATGGACAATGCATAATTGCCTACAATACTATTAATCTACCACATTGTTTATTTTATTTTTATTTTATAACTACTAAATTTAACTCCTATGATGTATAACTTACAGCACCACTTTTTGAAATCATAAACGGTACTTCATTTATTGCTATGAGATCAATAATATCCAAACTCGTACCGTCAGATGAACTAGGTAACTTCTATATACATGATATTTCAAAAATCATCTGATCGCATTTAATTTGGTTAAAACGATTTCAGGAAAAGTGAATTCTATATTCGGCGTTTGTGAAGCTTTAGTTCCATTGTTGTATGGACCGATGTATAGTGCTGTATATAAAGCAACACTAAAAACATTTCCAGGAGCATTTTTTTTACTCGGAGGCGTGTTAACTGCACCTGCAGCAATAATATTTCTGTAAGTAAACATTATACCGATCACTTGTGATCAATAACATTTTAATTCGTTCAATTTTTATCCGAATAAAATGTACTTAGTGACAATTTATTCGTAGATACGTTTCGAATCTAAGTAATTAATTTGTCTATGGAATAATTTTAATAGATGGATGTACTACGATAATAAAAATGAACAGAAGTTACAAGACACTGCGATCAAAAATCAAGAAATGTGTTCCGAAGGACTATAGAAGAAAAATATACGTGTATAATTGATTAGATTAATAGACACATGTTCCAGAAATCCGGAGTAAAAAAAAAAAAAAGTTTTATACTTTGAAATGGACAGAATAAAATTAAAGGAATGAGTACATATTAAAAAAAAAGCCTATGGACCAATAAAGTTCAAGGATATCATGCTTGTTATATGTTATATGCTAATTACAATCAATATCAATTGATGAAATTTGTATTCTTAACACTTAAAAATTTAAAACATCTGTAAATAGTTTATTTTAAAGTTTAACAGTTTTGTATACTTTTTTTTTATTTAGCTTTTAAGTTATTTTAAAAAAAAGTGTCTAGTAGTATAATATATTTATTGATCTCCTATGAAACCATCAATCGGTTGACTTAAATTACAAAGCAACATTTTTTTTTTTTCGTAATATAAAATGACCCACTGTATTGTCATATTTAAATTATTAAAACATAGTTTATACTTGCATTACAATTAAATATTTATATTTGATCTCTAGATTGTTAAGTGCATCTCATAGTTAATGTTCAGTATAGTTTTCATTTATTTATTACTCACAAGTTATCCAAACTTTCTGAACTATCATATGTTCGTTTAATCTTTTAGAGATCAATATCCATTTTAAACCAATGTAATGACAATAATGATAATATTATGAAAAACAAAGTTAATATTAATTGTTCCAAGATTCCATTAATTTTTTATCGTAATTCGTCATTGTAGTATTTTAAAATATTTGTCAAGGTATTTTTATTTTTTTTTTTTTATTTTTTTTTTATTGATCTTTGTAGGTTTACAATTAATTTTAACATTTACAGAATAAAATTCGTGTAAGTTTGTACATAAAGATATACATTTCATTTAAAATAATTTAGATATAATCAAGTGGATAGACCAGTCTCTCGGATAAATAATAATAATCGGATTATAACAAATTCAGAATTGGAATTAAGAATAAAAGATAAAGTTAGTTGGATATTTTGAGATTTTAAAAAATTAAAAAGAGTTAGATGATTAGAGGATAAAGAGGGACAGCTAAAGATAATATGGGAGAGGTCGCAAATAATTTCTTCAGAGTGTTTAGAACAGTAAGGGGAATCGTTTAGAGAAAGAGTTTGTAGGAATGGGAAGGAAGTAGATAATGACCGACCCGTAAACGGCTAAATTGTGTAATCGAGTTTCTGGATAATTATAGATTAGAGAACCAAGTTTTTTTTTAAGATAACGGGAACAACAATTTTATATTTTGAAGCGAAATTAGCCGGAAGACTATTCCAATAGGATGACCAAAGATGATTGATATGTTATCGCAGAATTGGAATGAAGTCAGAAGAAGGGATTTTATAAGGAGAGGGCAGAAAGATGGAAGAAGTGGACGTTGCTAGGTTTTCTGCGATCTTGTTACCGAGGATACCAGCGTGGATGGGAGCCCAGAGAAATTTAATAGTAAAGTTAGCTTGATTGAGAGAGAAAATAATATTTTTTATGCAGAGAATAAGAGGAAAAAAACAGGGATTGAAAGGATAACTAACTAACGATTGAATACTTGACATTGAGTCAGATACAATTAAAAATCTGTTGGGGGGAAAGGAAGATGAGTGTGAGTGCTTCAATAATAGCGAAATATTCGGTAGAAAATGATGATGAAGTGGAGGGAAGATTGTTAGAAATGGAAATAGATTGATTTGGGATATAAAAAGAATAGCCTGCAGAAATAGAAGAGACCGAACCATCAGTGTAAACTAAAGTGAAAAGAGGAAAATTATCATTAATATAATCGAGAAAAAGGTTGTTGACAGTGAAGGGGGGAAAGGACTTTAATGTATCATATGAAAGACCTAGGAAGCAAGGATCTATATTAACAGATGGTAAATATAAAAGATTTTCATAAAGGAGATCAAAGCAAGGGAGTAAATTTTAGTTGAAAATATACTCAGGAAAAGAGGATAACGAATTGGAAGTGAGAAAAAGAACAGGAAGAGATTTTTTAACGTATCGCCAATTAAGAAATAGGGTGAAAAATATATCAAAAATAGTAGATTTGGAGTTAAAAAAAGATTTTAGAAGAAATTTTCCAGCTAACCAACGACATCTGATATTTAATAGAGGACAGATTTGTCAAGGTATATGTAGTTGAAATGTAATATATAATCTTTCATCATATTGTATAAAATTAGTTTATGTTTTAGGAATATTTTCTAATTGTTTAACACTTTTAGTTTGTTAGTTTTCGTACACGTATAAAAATATTTTATAATGAGCAACCAATTTTTATTATGATGGTCTTATTTGTTAGTTGGTTTGACTTACCTATCTTAAATTTTTGAAACCATATTCAATATAATCGTTTTCCCTAGTTACGCGTAAATAACTTATTATAACTCTGAATTTTGCTGGTTATCGCTTTAACATTGTCCACCCACTTTACGACTTTAGTTATGTCAGCAGCGATTTTCGTATTCTTTCCAGTTGCCATTTTATCAATGAACTTATTTAAGGAACTGTGGATGTACCCCATGGTTAAAACGACTTGACTTTCGTGTTCGTGGTGTCACCACATCTAAGGGATTATTTTATTTACCAGTAAGTAGAACAAATTTAGCAAAAAATTCACCTCTTATAAGGATGATGTTGATTTTTAATAACAATAATATTTTTGTACTTAGGTCCACTTCTGCATCTATTTTATTTGTTATATAATTTTAAATACATTTATTCTTGTTAAATTAATTTAAACGTTAATTTGTATGTAATTTAGTTTAATTTGATTGTTATCCTGTTTCCATTATCTAATTTATAATGTGTATATCATAATGCTATGTAATTTTTGTATTATAATACTAATATCAAAAGCCGAATGGCATATATTTTAATAGTATAAAAAAATAAAAATAAATGAAATCATTTTACAAATAAGAAAAAGACTATGTGAAACAACGTGAAATGATTACATATATCTAACAGACAAATCATGAACTATGAGGTTAGAAAATATATAATGACCTTATATTATTTACGTAGTTTTTAAGGTTTCTTTGAACTGTCATAAAAATCGGATCAAATGAATATATATAAATATATACTATGTATACCACTATAACCGTATGAATAATGTATGATAATTTACAATATTTTTTCAACAAAAATATACTCGTATAATTTAATTAAAATTTTAAGTATTATATACCAGGTAATATGTTTAAAAACAATACTTAAAATACCTGTCATGTAAAGACGTATTTAATTGCTTTATTTTTTGTACAGTTTTTTGTTTGTAGTATTACCGATAGAAATCCTGTTAAAAAGTTTTAAATATGAATAGGTTTTTATTTTTCCTTTACCATTTAATCGGGATAAAAGTAAAGCATGTTTATTATATTTAACTGTCAATTAAAACAATAATTAATCATCTAAAACTTATTGTTTTGAAACTAATCAGTTCCATTGATATTATTTAATTATTTTTTAGAATATGATATATATTCCATATTCGCAACACCAACTTCTCGTATAAAAATTAGTAGCAATTCTATTGTTCTATTTCAATAGTATTTAAACCATCCATGTTATTTTTTTACCATTAGATATTTCAAGGATCAATATTTATTTAATCAAAATCTTTGTATGTAGTAACTGACCTACTTATTGTTAAGAATCAATTGATTTATACAAAACATTTATAACAATGTTAAACAGCATTCGAAGATTTGGGGACGAAAACCATTTACTCGACTGTGTATTCTAAATTTAAAAATCTAATTAGGAAAATATAATTATTTCAATTTAATTATAAATACTAGGTATAGAAAATGTTGCATGTTAAAAAGAACTTAGCCCGTACAGTAAATTAAAATTAAATAAATAATTAATGTTTTAAAAAAAATACAGTTACAATATTAATACTTGTAATCGTCCGTATGTAAATAAAAGCACATAAATATGTTGTTTACAGTAAAAATCAATAGCTGTATTAATCCCTTGTTAAACAAAAAAATATTCTTAACGATGAGTACAGAAAAACAAAATAGACTATCTACGAATATATTATTAATGTTTTTATATTTTTTTTTTTAAGACAATTTGAAGTAAGCATTTTTAAATTTTATACTTGTATTGAGTGTAGTATATTTACTATATTTGTGTATTCGGAAAAATCGTCAATTTCGCATTCAAAATTAACAGTCCATCCATATTTATATTATATATTGACTGTTGAGAACAAATGATATACAAGATGTCATATTTTTTTTATCTTGTATATATTAATACATAAAAAATTTATTATGAATAAGAAAAACGGTTATTTAATACTTTTGGTGAGGCATATAAACAGATAGTTGGTCAAAATAATATTTTAAAAGATTTAATTATTAGTGTTCACATTTCGTTTTACAATATTTATATTTTCAGCATTTTTACAATTTTGACCCTCAAAATATAACTTTATTTATGATTTTAAATTACATTATTGCATTTAATTTCTAACTTCAGGATATTAATGATTATATTTAAGTTAAAATAATCGACCAAAAAGGAATCGTTGTTTTTTAACAAGTCGTCCATATTGCTTAGTAAATTTCTCGTAGGACGAATAACACTTTAAATTAACGACAAATTGATTTATTTGATTTGGATCAGTTGTTTTGATAGTAATTCAATGTTATGTTTAGTAGATAATTTGATTCGCTTACAGTACTAAAAAAAACATACACATAGACATTCGATAATTTTTCAATAGAACATGAGTGCATGGCTCGTTTTTCCTACTGTTTTAATAATCTTAATTGAAGGTTGAGTAAATTTAATTTTGCACTTTGTCAGATACTTGATGATAATAATTGGGAAATTTGTATTATAGTTGTTGGATGATTTATACTAATTTACATTCGATTACGTAATTAATCGTTCTCATGGTATATATTATCCGTGTCAAAAGGGCGCATACCTATTGATTACACTACAACAATAAATGTAGTACCAGTAAAAGAGAAAAAAGAGAACTATACTTTTAATTTGAATTATATTGTAATTATAAAATTATCTATACATCAATATTCTGATCTTGTGAACAACTTTTAAATATTTTAATTATAATGAACAGTTGTAATTCCTTAGTATTATTAAATGTATTATATACTGGTATTCACATAAAAAAATAGTAAAAATACCTACTTCTACAAAAGTGTATTTTACAGTGAATAATCACA